GCGCTGTTTTTCGCCGTTTACGGTCGTTTACGACACCGTTTTCTTTGGCCTGGGTGGGTATCGGGGCAGGGCGGCTCTTGTGGACCTATAGGTGCCCCATAAGATAGCCCTTGAGACCCCATGGGTACCCCACAGGATAGCTCTTGTGAACCCATGCATACCCTAATAGGATAGCCTTTGAGGACCTATGGTTGCCCACAGGATAGCTTTTGTGGATATATGGGCACCCTTACTGGATAGCGCTTGAGGAGCTATGAATACTCCCATAGGATAGGCCTTGAGGGCCTATGGTCCCTATATAATGCCTTGGGAAGTAGCCCTCTTATAGCCTTATTTGATCTTTAACCTTTGATCCGACACAGACCGACACACACATCGAACATTATATTTATAGATGTTTTTATATTTTTTCTCTTGTTTTCATGCATTTTTAGTTATTTTAAGGATTTTCTTTATATTAAGAGATGTTTCTAAAGGAAGGTTTATCAAGAAAAGTTATTCAGGGATAGCACTTATTCATGTCAGAATGTTGCTTATGAAGTTCTCTGGATGTTTGTCAAGACACGTTGGGATGTTTGTGTGGATCATAAGAGAGATCCTGGGTGTTTGTGTTGAGAGAGGTCATTTTTTGGTGTTTGTGGACGGTTTATTTTTTCTAGGACTCGTGTAAAGTGGGTGTTTGTGTGCATAACTCTCCAAGATGTGGGTGTTTGTCAAGATGACTTATATGCGGTTTTACAAAGTTAAATGTTTGTGCTGTTTGCATAAATTAGTAATACCCTTAATTAAAGTAGTTTTAAATGTGATTAAACGAGCATTTGTAAAAGAATACGATTGCTATTCGATTTGATTATAGTGGATATATGGCACTGCACCGAGCCAACCCACTATCGAGAAGAAGAAGAGAAAAGATTGAAAGACGGGCGCCATGTCTACTTTATAGATCTGTTGATCCGATTGTTCTAAATAAAATGCAATATAAAAATTCTTTTTTTTTGATAATTAAAAATAATTGATATGAAATATGACTAAAATTAGAGACGGAACTGCTTTGGATTTTTGACCATCAGTATCGATTTAAACAGATCAGACTGAACATGATCGGCCGATCTGTAGTTAGTACTGATACTGATATCGACTCTATGATTGGATATAAGTAATTGATATAGTCAATTTCCTTCGAAATTCTCTTATGTATTCTGTATGAGATAACTTTAAGATTCACAAGTTTCGAATAAGTTTATAAGTTAAAACCAGAAAAGTAAATAATATAGATTAAACGGACAGAAGTGCGTATCAGTATCGATTCCATCTATGATTGAAACCCTACTATCATATTTTAGAAATTCATACAAAATAATTTAAAGATTTCATAATGGAAGTTAAAAATTCGTTTTCTCTTTTTATTAAATGTAACAAGTAAAACTATTCGATAAATTCTCATATTGTTCTCATAAAAGAAATTCACAAGTAGTATGTAAAAATAAATATCTTTTACTTTGATTATTCTTTAAATAAAAAAATGACTAAGTTAATATTTAGAAACTATTGATCATACTCAAAGAAGAACTCTTCAAATCCGGATGATAATCAGATAATGTACGAATGTCATTCTTGTCAGTTATATTTATCATTTGCATTGATCGATTGACATAAGTAGTTGGTGGCCAAGTAGATACCATTTGTTTGAATGTAAAAAATCTTCTCATATGTACTATTGATCTGCCAGAGATCTTACAAATATGACTCATACACCTTACATTTCGTATGGAATGTAAAACACCACTTCGATATTTAATTAGCATATTAAAATCCCAAAAAATATTTGATTTAGTATGTAAAAAAAAAAAGAAACTTCTACTTATTATATCATTTATAAAACATTGTTTCCAATATTCGGTTTTTTTTTACAAAGATGAAAATGAAATTCTCAATATGAATCTGGTTACTAAAATATACAAATTCTCGTTAATTTTATCAGATAGTTTCGCTCAAAATGGAGTATATCTGCTTCTATAGTACAAAATTATTCTATATTCTCATTGATTTCATGTTTGCATGCAGACAGTAGGAAAATAAAGTTCAAAAAAGAAAGAACAAATTGTACTTTTAACTACTTCATAATCAATGTCATGGAGAAAACGAATTATCGAACTCTCTTGTATGTTGCTATTGTTATATTATTGTTGTCGATAACTTTAGAACACGCAAAAAAAAAATAGTGTAAATGTGAATATATGAATCATATTCTTTTCTCATACTACACTTATGTACTCTCATTGTTAAGAAAATAAAAGAACTACAGAGATTAAAAGTGTTAAAAGGAGTAAAGCACATTGATAACTTTTATTTCTTATAGACTTCTTTTGAATAATGATATGAAAGAGTTTATTTACTTTTAATTTTTATCTTTGAAAAATTTTTATACAGACAATTAGTACAAATTCAAAATAACATAAATTATTTGTTTAGAATCTGAATATCTACTGAATTTCATAGAGGAAATTTAGCTTAATCAATAACTGCTGCACGACTGTGGTTCGTTCTTTATTTGTTTTCCTAAAGAAAATATTCTAATATTTTGAAAAAAGAATTATTTAGATTTTTGTTCTAAACAAATATGTGTTGTAAATATACAGAGATTTACGACAAATTTTATTGTTTGGTACGATTTAAAATAAAAGACAGTTTTAAAGAATAATGAACATATCAGAAAATAGAAATGTAAATGGCTATTTAAAAGTATATATACCTTTTATTAGGTATCGCTTCTCCTGAATCTATAAGAATTGGTAAAGGAACGATTCGTGACTGACAATTTCTCAAGAATAGTAGAAGAGAAAGTGTTGCTAATTTATAGCAAACAAATAGTTTTTCTTACAATTTGTTGTATTATCAAGAATAGAAGCTGAATTACAAACGTTAACCATCGTGCACGGATAACTTCTTTTATTCATTCTATGTACAAGTATGAGTATTTATAAACAGATATATCGTCCAATGATAATTGCATTCCTTCTCTTTCTTCGTTGCCATAGATACGTTGAAACAAGATGAATGTTTTTTTTTCAACATTGACTCTTTAAGCGGTACTTTTCTGTCAATTCTTCTTTACGTATAACGCTATATCATTACAGGGTCATCATATGTAGTATACAAAACATAGGAAATGTGGATTATCAATATATTTTATTGAAATGATATATCAAACAGACAACTTGATAGAGAGGATATATCTACAGAGAAGCTGTCTGTTTATAGAATTTTATTCCTAACGAACAGTTATATTTTCATGTACAAATGAGAAAATCATATTATATAAACATTTCGTTTTACATTACCAATTAAGATATGCGATAGATTCGATTTGGTAATAACACACTACACATAACAATATCTTTATATTGATTGGTATATTGAACGCAGCAATCAGCATCAATGTGAGAATGAAACCGAAGAGTGAGTGAATGTTGCTATTCTGCATTAGTACCGGTACCCAAGATGGTATTAGGGGGTGACCCTTTATCTTTACTATCCTTTATAATAAAGGATTCTTTTTTCGAACGATAATGATGTTGAGAGTACTCTAGAAGCACAGAATTTATGTTCAGAAAGATTTTTATCATCAAATAAATGTATTTCTATTGAAAACAAGCTAGTTGAGACATAATATGAATTATTGGTTTTTTCTAATATTTAACAGGTTTCAATCACAAAAATAAAGATTGAATCAAAACTAATATTATATTCTGAATCAGCATCAAAAATGGAGCTGATCTATGAGTATTTCAAAAATTTTTGCGACTTGTTTTTTCATCGAAAAATTCAGCCATACTCCCTCTCAGGACGATTGAGTCAGAAAAATGAAATCCACGAAATCAGGGATGGACGAGTCAAGCAATTTCTCGAGTCGAGTTGAGTCCAAGTCGTTTCGTAGTGGTATCGAGTCGAGTCAAGCTATTTTTGCCATTTTTCTCTCTTTGATTATATTTATAAAGAATGTCAACAACAAGTTTTTCAATACAAGAGATGTAGTTTCTGAGTTTTAAGTGCAAAAACCAAAATAGGTTACACATGAAGAAAATCACACAACTAATCTAGACTAACCAACAAAATAAGAACAATGGAATCAAGTCTTCTACTTTACATAGCGTCACGCCACAGTAAAAAAAAATAATACTTTTGTAAGCAAAAACCTCACCTTAAACCTCTTTACAAGCAAAAATTATTTATTACCATTTAAGTTAAGTGCCTTATTGTACTTAAAAGATGTTAGAGTAGAAATATTAGCTTTTGTATAACGTAAAGAATTCGATCTTATTGAATGATCACTTTGAGAAAACACATGTTCATCTGATGCTAACATGCCAGCAACACACATAATGTACGTTGCAAAAGTCTTTGGAAAAATGTCAAACTCTGTTAGACCATATTGCCGACTTCTAAACTGATCAAATTTTTTTTTGTCAGAAAGAGTAATGTTTGCACTACAAATTTTGTATTGGACATATTTTTTCAGAACGAATCTAAGAAGGAGGAAAAACCAAAAAGCAAACACCTCTAAAAATGTTCTTGCAACTTCATCATTGAGCGATATCATTTTCTATTTTCTGTTAAATTTTTTTAATATTAAATGAGAACGGAAAAAATACGTTTAACGCTGATTTTTGTCGCAAAAAGAGTGCTCTTTTCAATGGTGGATTGAAAGTTATATTTACTCTCACCTTTTATATCAAAATATTGCTTTTTCTGAAATAGACTCAATAATTCGGCCATTCTCACTATCTGGTTGGTTTGCAACTGTAAAAAATATTTTTTGAATTATTTTTTTCTAGTCAGTTTCTATGATCTCACATATTTCGAACAAACAACAGAAAAGGAATTGAGTTCATGTGTGGTTTCTGAAGATGATGACTGATATTCTTGCAAATTGATAGTTCTTGCAAAAGAGTTTATTTTACAAAAATTTCATCTTTTAAACTTTTTCGATTTAAGAGTCAAAAGTAGATCTAAAATGTGTTAGCAAAGCTGATACCGGTAGAGTTTTTGATGCGCTACATTTTGACGTATTTTTTTGTTAGAGCTCGGTCCATGTAACTCAAAATAATTGAAAAAATGCAGACTCTTCCAGTTGCAAAAATGTTGCAAGAACATTTTTGAAGGTGTTTGGTTTTTAGCTTTTCCCTCCCTTCTAGATTCGTTCTGGAAAAATATGTCCAATACAAAATTTGTAGTGCAGACATTACTCTTTCTAACAAAAAAAAAATGATCAGTTTAGAAGTCGACAATATGGTCTAACAGAGTTTGACATTTCTCCAAAGACTTTTGCAACGTATATTATTTGTTTTAGAAAGCTTATTAACAGATGAGTATTGATCTTTTATGAGTCGAAACCAAAATGCAAGAAAAAATGCACATATTCGACAATACGTATAGGCTATCATTTACGATGACATGAATCTACAGGTCGAATAAAAGGAGAGACCAGAATTTCAGTCCACGGAATTTTCGGTCCGGTTCGAAATTCCGGTGTTTTTTTGGGCCGGGCTGAAATGCCTTGTGGACTTTTGGCCCATGACCTCATTGACCTCTAAAATAAAAAACTTAATTTTTTTAATTAGTTGCTAGATATCGCAGTGCTGAGCAGGACGTCATAGTGCTGAGCGGTATGACGTAGTGCTGAGCAGAATGTCATAGTGCTCAGCGAGATGGTGTAGTGCTCTACAGGATGAACTTAGATCATACTATAGTTATAGCGTTCTGCTGAGCAAATTGTATTTGAAGCAGTGGCATTCTGTGCCAGTAGGTTAAAAGTATGATATGAATTTCGTAGTTGATGTTCTCCAGTTAGAGTTATCGGTTGTTCAATAAAATGGTTCGATTATTGAAAATAACTACTCGGAAATTGGCGATATCAGGGATGGGCGAACACAAATACGTACTTCACTCGATGAAATGATGAATGACCTTCTATCGAACTTTTCAATGTTTCAGAATGATTTGTTAAGACATTTCTCAGCAGCAAAATATTTTGTGTGCATTAATGTCCTTGTCTTACAGATGCTATTGTGTGAAAAAGCTTTTCTTTTTTTTTACTAATTATGCTATTTGTCAGTTGTAAGACCCATTTCTATTCTTCTTCATTAATTTTAATTTCCTCTATATGTTCGAGTATAATGAAGGTATTCCTTTTCGTTTTTTTTTCGCCATTCATATAACGAAGTTGTATCCCATGTTTTCTTCACCGTGGATTGTGCGCGATTCACAAATTAGATGCATTATTCTCGATCTGCATCATCATTTACATTGAGTGTATCTGTTTTTCTCGCCTGATTTTTTGTTGTATCTGTAAATTTCTTAGTTTATTTTGTTTATTAAACTTTTCAATGTGGGTGTGGGTGTGCAGGAAGAGAGAATAAACATCTCCATCTACACCCACATCCACACCCACACTATGATGTCCTGCTCAGCACTACGATATCTAGCAAATAATTAAAAAAATTAGGTTTTTTATTTTAGGGATCAATGAGGTCATGGGCTGCAAGTCCACAAGGAATTTCGGCCCGACCCGAAAAATCACCGGAATTTCGGACCGGACCGAAATTCATGTAACCCAAAAAAGAGCTCTTGAAAAAATTATTCGGATACAATGTACTCAATTAGGACGAAATTTCTAAATAAG